GCAAGGGAGTTATCTCTATGATTTATAGTGGAAGAATGGATGACCAAACTTGGTACATACACATAATGGAGTGCTATGCAACACTAAAAAATAATGTAGAGTCTGCGAAACACCACATAATATGAATGAACGTGGAGGACATTATGCTGAGTGACATAAGTCAATCACAGAAGGACAAATATAGTATTAGTTTGTGGTTATAAAGGGTCAAGGAAAGGTTTATATATGGAGGGAAACTTTCTTTGTTGGAGGGGAGGGGAGGGAACACTGCAAAAAAAAATGCATTGATCCATGTCACTTTAGTTTTGTGTATTTCACTGTACATAAATTATATTTCAATAAAATGCATTTTTTAAAAAAAAGATGGGAATGGAACAGGCCATTGAGTTTATAATCTGCTGGGGCAATGACATGATAATTGTGTGGCTCACCTTGTCTAAACCTTTCTTTATAAACGTGTGTGGTAGTTCAATTTGTGTTCAACTTGGCTGGGCCTGGTTGAGTGGCTGGGCAGCTGGTGGTAGTTATTCCCCATGATTAGACTGGCAATCAACTCCATGGTGGGATCTACCACATGCAACTGAGTAGCTGTCTTTGGGATGTGGTCTGCTTCCTGTATATAAGGAGAAGTCTTGGGAATGGTCTCTAGCATACGGCACGCTTGGGCCCTGCACGTAGCCTTGTAGTTGTTCAGCAGCCTGCCATGCTCTGCTGACCTCGGGACTTAAAATGAACTTGAATTAATGGCCTGCTGTGTGGTTTGGTAACATCTGCACTGTGCCTTTTTACTTGTCAACCTTGGGCTTCTCAGCCTCAGCAGCAAGCAGCTGTCTGAGTGAAGAAACACCTCTAGGCCCAGTGGGCTGGAAGCAGGAGGCAGAACTGGACCCCAAGTTTGAGGGGCTTTCACCCAGGCCCTAGAGCCTGGCACTTTGAACTTGGACTTAAAGCCTCCAAACTGTAAGAAAATAAACTCCTATTTGTTAAGGCCATCCCATTTGTGGTATATTCTTTTCAGAGTAGCACTAGGTAGCCAGAACAAACATGTATCAATTTTATAAAGTATTATGATCAAAACTGAAACTTATTTTTTTCTGCTGCCAGAGTCTAAAGAATGATGAATATGGCATAACTCTCCATAATCTTGAGAATTTATTTTGAGTTAGTATTTTCTTAGCTGTATACACATCAAGAGTTAACCTAGTGCTGCATAATCCAGGAATATATCCCCCTTGACCAACCCCAGTTAAAACCATTCTCTCTGCATGCTTTTGGAGCAGGCATTGTTGTTCTTCGCTGCCTCAAGTCAGCCCCTGGCCCATGTGACCCAGGCACAATGGGACGATTTGCTGCTCAGTCCTGCACCATCCCCACAGTCAATTATGGAGCTGATTGGACTATGAGGATCCATAGGGTGTTCACTGGCTGATTTTTGGAGTAGATCA